AGCGAGGGCAGATGCAAAGGGACAGCTCACGGAACGGGGCGATCACTGGCCGGTGAGGAATCGAACAATTCCGGCTGATTAAATTGCTTTCAAAATGCTCAGCCCAATGTTCTAAACGTTTTGACAAATTGTGGAGTGGCTGTCCACTCTCGTCACAAATTGTTTCACTAACACCAGGTCTCCTGCTGCCCGTTTCCAATATCAGAAGGAATAACTTCAGTTGGTTACCAAGGTCAGCGGTCACTTCCATCTCTGACGCATGAAGAGACCACTAGGATTTGCGGTCCCTCTTCAGGCTAGCACAGAGTCCTGCCCGGATGTGTTGTGAGTCTCATTGTGTTCGCTTCAAGCCGGATTGTGCCGCCGAGCATCTATAAGTTCCAGAGACCGCCAAGAGACCCAATGTTCATGTTGGCGATTAGACTTACCACATGGGGATTTTTCTGCTGCTAGTAAGACCTGGTGGACATACGACCAGTGACCTACAAATGTATTCTGTGAGCGTTTCCTGAACACGAACGCCAGCGTATTTCGATACACATTTAGAACCTCTGGCTTCGCCAGTTGGCTGGTGTCTATGCGCTCACGGCGTTGTCGAGGGCCAACACCAAAACGCACCCGCAGATCCGCACATACAAGTGCATCGTCGGTGTCCACATATGTGCTCCAAATCGAGCGGCAGTGTTGCACACAGCCTCTCCAACGGTAACTGATCATAATGTGATTGATTTGCGTCCATGACTGGTGGGTGCAATGTCACCTTCCGGTGGGTGCTATGTTGAAAGGTAGTGCTCGCAAAAATAAGCGAGTATCTTCACACAAATGAAGTAACCGCTCACCGCTATCATTACGGTAACCTAAACCATGTTGGCCCCCAGTTGCAGTTCATCAGTGGACAATTTTCCAATTTGTGCATTCAGATCCGCAGCCAACACAACAGTATCCGCGCTTCTTCTGTGGTAAAGGTAGTTTGTGCAGTTGGCGATAGAAGTCGTCTTTTACCGAATAATCACTGCAGTTTATGGGCGCGTGGGCAGCGATGACGAATAGACACCTGTAATATAGAAGCGAATGTTGGTAGCTCAGGTTGTTCAGTTGGTGATCTCATTGTTCGCTGAGCTCGGAAGTTTGAATGAAAACGTTTCGTCACCACCCGAGGTGACATCGTCAGTGCGCCTTTATGTAGCAGAGCGGCGCGGTACTCACTGAGGTTTCGTACCGCGCCGCTCTGCGACATAAACGCGCACTGACGATGTCACCTCGGGTGATGACGAATCGTTTGTAACCAAACTGCCGAGCTCAGCGAATAGACACCTATTAGTCCCGCGCGACTTCGAAGCTTTGAATGAACCAGCCAATCGGACCGCACACATCGGGCTACTGATTGGGATCCAATCAACCAGAGCAGCTTCAACCGGGGGACTCAGGGCAATACCAACACCGACTTGGCCGCTGCTCGAAGCTGCATCGTCACTGGATAGGCGCAATGAGAAAGTACTGCTGGTGATGCCTGAAGGGGATCGCAAAGGGAGCACAGAGCTCGAATCTTGCAGGCAGGTCTCCGATAAGCAGCAGATATCGATCAAGAGGGTCTCTAATGTTCGGGCAACAACAACAACAACCACAGTTCGACAGTAACTTGTACTGGTAGCTCGTCGCCAGAAAGGCATAAGCGACCTACGACTAATTAAAAATACAAGGTCAAGAGGCCTACACGACTTGTCGATAACACCATCACAAATAATTGGCTATTGCACGGAGACAACGCGGCACTGGCGAGGAAGCTCTTTCGCAGCTTCCACCGTTTCTTGTCATAATCAGCTTTACCCCATGGATATACATCAGACAGATTATCCGAATAGGAGACGACGGAAAAAGCGCTATTGGTGCCGGCTGTGAGCCATGAGGTGAAAGGTTTGGATTATAAACAACGGACAGTTCCGTGATTCCAAGAATGGAAGAAGAGACAGATCAACAGCCCTTTTGGACCTTACGCTATCCCAAAATTGCCAAAGAAAACATTACGTTTCTCGGTAGTCGGTGTGAGGGGATGAACACCTAGCAGGTGAACGGTGTATTACACATTGCGCAAAAGATAGCGTACAAATAATTGTCTGCAATTATGTTATGGTCATCCATCAAGCTTTTGATATCTGCCCGTATCATTCCTAACTGCAGCGAAGAAATTACCATCCAAGAGGGGGAATAGAAACTGGTCCGTAAATAAACGAGCAAACAACGGAGACAAGCTATCGATTGCAAATATCAAGAAAAATGATGACAGCGACTATAAGCCATACAAACATCATATACAAGATAGGCCTAGAGGCAAGAAACACTCTGGTGCCTCACTCAAATGTTTGCTGAAACTTAAGCGGTTAAGTTGATTAGGTCACGCATGCCCTCTGTATTGCCGTTGACCGCTTTCCTCGACGTACACTATACGCCGTCGCTGCACTAAGGTGGGCGGAATGGTGAAGTGGTCAATCGATGAGGTGGCATAAAGATATGAAAAAATTGACTGAGATACTGTCAAGCTGGGGGCCACGGGATAGTCCACCACAGTGGTTGAAGACCCTATTAGACATGGCGCAGCCAGTGGCGCATCTGCATTCCGTTTCTTACATCTAGTCGTTAATTTTTATTTCAACCCTATTAGTTGAACATGCTTCCTTCTTGACTACATTTGCTTTGTATTCTATTTGTATCTATTCTCATTGTCTTACCGTTAGTAGTTATTGTATATCTGACGAAGCGAGTCGTGGCAACTAGATCCACTGGACTTCGGCGCCAGGGTCGTAATTATCTAACTGAACCGAAGATGACTGTCATACCATGTTTGGTCTCCCACAACCGGTACGGCGTGGGCTACTTAGAGAAAGTAAGTGAGCTGGTGCCATGCGGGGAGTGGGTGGTGCGACAACGTACGTGATTGCGCTAATAAACACCGCCAATAGACCAATGGAGGTCCGCCAGTTAGTTTTTGGTAAGAAGCCTTCTGGTTCCTCATTAGGGTGTTTACTGAATCTTAATCGCTTGCGTTGTTTAGGCAATATCATCCGTATGCCCGTTGACCGGCTTCCTCGGCGTGCATTATACCCCGTCGCTGCAACAATTTTGGCGAAACCGCGAGGTGTCCAGTCCATGACATGGTATAGAGGTATGAAGAAATCGACTACATGTGGTTTTCGTGGGCGGGAGCCTCGTGATAGTTCAACCCAGTGGCTGGAGACCGTATCAGAAGGAACGCAGTCAGTGGCGCTCCTGCACTCGGTTGTTCATTTTCGTTCAGCTCTAATTAGTCTAAGGCATTTCCTTCTTGCATTAATTTTCTCTACATTCTATTCGCACCGAAACCCACTATCATGCCGTTGATATTCATTGTTATTCTTACGATGTGAGTCGTGGCAACTGGATCCACCGCACTTCCGTGCTCGGATAGTTGATCAACTGAACTGAACTGAACTGATCCTAATTCCTCTTTCCGTAGTGTCCACGCCTGATTAATTTGGGTCTTCAACGGTTGCTTAATTTCTGGCTTGTCCACCACCCATTGATCAGATTTGCACAAACCATCAAATACTATCACACATACATGACAACCGCCAGTCTGAAAGCACTAATGGCGGGGTGGTTCACGTGCTTCGCATGTAATCAGCGTGCCACCGGTTTAAAGCTGCGGTGTGGGTAGCCTAGCAGTACACTAGACGGAATGCAACCGCTGGCGGTCGTCTGGCGATGAATCACCGGTACGAAACTTGATATACTGCTGATGCAGTTCTGAAGACACTCTAAATCTACGATGGCAGAGAGGCTCGAAAAGAGTTGCAAGGGCAATTCAATTGGGTAACGAACGGCTTTCATCACTGATGCGTGCGGTGGTCGCTGGTGGTGACAACGTGCTCCGCACCAGATGCACTATTACCGGTCGAGGTTTAGTCGATGCTTGGGAGTTGTGGTGTCAACGTCTCAAGTGGGTCTGAAAGGCAGAGCATAAACCAAGTGATTTTTTTCGAGGTGAGCAGCGTAACGTTCAAGTCGGTGTGATTGTCGTACGGAATAGTGTAGAGTCAATACACAAGTACGACCTCGGTGTGGGAGTTATCGGATAGGAGTTCCCGTAAAATTAGCACCCACGTGTAATTTCTGTAGTAAAATTACTGTAAAAAGCGCGTAAAGAGTAATCACTAGAAAGGTAACAAGAGTGCAGTAAAACGCCGTGCTATGCGATCGGACAGTACCAGGTTGATAATGGATAATAATCTGTATCGGGGAAGCGCCGTATATGGTGGATGTCAGCAGAAGGAACTCAGCAGTCACGTACACATGTGACCCATTCTAAGCCGGACACCAGTCCAACGAACGTGGATGCTTCAGTTCAGGACGCTCAAATGAGTCACACATTGGTTCACAGACTGTGATAGTGAGTCAAAGGGAAATTTGACACCGACAGGCATGGTCAGACTGACACCAATCGAGTGAAAATCGGTGGAGTAGATCTGAGAGGCTATGGTCAGTGTGGGCCCCTCGATTTGGAGAGAAATCGAGGCTATGAACTTGCTCCGGCGATTTAAGTTTAGAAGAAACGTTTGAACGAATGAGAATAACAAGTGTATGTAAATTGGAAGCATTGTGAAAACTCAGAATGGCTTACCGAGATATTAAGCTACAGAGGGTTGGCGCTTGACTATTAAGAATGACACGACTGCGACGTTCAAAAGTATCCGATACGGTATCGAGAGGTAAAACGAAGTGAGACATTAAAAATCTCGATGATCATGGCTTGACCCTAACGCTGCGCAAGAAAATGACCCTGCTGGGATTTAAGTATACAGGGGATAACTAGTGAAGAATGGACACTAAGGCACCTGTTCACGAAAAACAGAACGAAGTGACGTTACCACACACATTATGTAGCAAAGTGACGAGAGAGATACAGGGTGAAGGAATTAGAAGAATAATGAGCAGTACTCGAGCCAAATGAGCCCACAGACACTGACTTGCTTGGGATACTGGATTGAAGTTGATGCGCTTATCTCCCGACGTGTGATTCTGGCCGGCAGCGTCGGAGTCCGTGGCCGAGTCATCCCGGTCCGACACCCGCTCCAGCGCCTGTAACCTGGCTGTGAGTTCGGATAGATCGGCGTGAAAGGATGAATCTTCGTTAGACGATACCACTGAGTGACTAGGGACACGCTGCGCGTTAGCAGACCGAAATAAGCTTGGAGAGCACGCACCGATGCCGCCCACGTCATTGATGGTCAGACCACTACCAACACTAAAGCTGCCGGCCCTACTCAAGGACATCAGAGAAGCCAAGGAGATCATATCTTCGTCACTGGAAGAGGAGTGAGAACGGGGGGAACAGTACAATAATGCAATATCTTCCAACTTTAGGCAAATGGCATCGCTGCGGTGATAAATAAATAAATTTTAACGACGGTATCGCGATAACAACGAAAACGTTGTTATCGCGACAACTACCAGTGGAAATCGCAATCTGCACAGGCTCCACAGATTAGAGGGATAAGGCAGATCAGTGAAAATAACCGGTGTATGCTAGCCAATCGGTATGGGGCGACACAGGTCCCCTATGAGAAGTGACTAAAAATACTGAATACTGTATTGTGGAAGCAAGTACGAATTTGAATCTGTACAACTTCAACGAAATGTGACCAAAACGTCAAAAAAGCAGACGATGCATAACTTGTAAATACTCTGACCGTTGGTCAGATTCTCATGTGATATCGTAAAAAGTTGTAAACGAGAGTAAAGTGGGAGTGGAAAATGTGAGCAATCGGCAGAATCTAACATTTGCGAAGTGCACATTCAATGGTCGTTTGAACTGCTCCACTGAGTTCCCTTCCATTAGATATTCCGGCAAACCGTCCCAGACATTTACCACTCGCCGTTCCAAGTACAGTGGATGGGAAACTCGCGTTAGATCCGGAACTACAAGCTTGTATTGGTGTCTGGTTGTGTTGCAAGGTATTCACAAGTGGAGCAGTGGCCGCAGCATGGGGAAGTCGCTTACATGTAGAATTCGATAGATCATGAGGAGGTCAACTCGCGACGGACGATAGACCAAGGTGTGCAGTCCCAGCCTATCACACCTGTCCTCATATGGTAAGCACCGCAAACTGGGGATGAGCCTCGTGGCGAGGTGTTGAACTTCTTCAATCTTCTGTGCCTCGCCGCGAGTGGTCGGGCAATAAACGGGCGAGCCACACTCTAGCCTTGGTCGGTGAATGGAGGAGAAAAGGCGGGTGGCAACCTCTTCAGACAAGATGCAAAAACTGCGTTTGAGCGCCCAGAGCATGCGCAGTCGGTTACGATATAGCTTGTTAGTGTTGTCAACGACTTAAATTCGCAAGGTGAGAGTACTCCTGCGGCTTTCACAGGTGTAAGATGTAGCAGTTGGAAGTCGATAGTGTAGATTCGGTCTTCATCACCTTTCAACATGATCGTGGACACCAAGTTTGATGGGTTGATCGGGAGGCGAACTTCTACAAGCCACATGGGAAGGCGGATTGGATTTTGCTGAAGCAGGCCGCAGTCGTCGGAGGTATTTATCCCTCTTCACATCTTTAGGCCATCCCCCAACAGGGCACACGGCGATCGAAGAAGCTGAGGTAAATCGTTGATATAAATCAGGAACAATGTAGGCCACAGCACCGTGCTTTGGGGTACGCCACTGGTTGAAGGATACCAGTCAGCCAGGTGTCTATGGAATTCTATCCTCCAGTTTCGTTCAAGGAGAACCTTGCGGATCAACTGGTGCAGTGAGCCACCAAAACCGCATGCTCTCAGTTTGATGAGGAGGGCCTCATGATTCACCTTGCTGAAAACGATGTAAATCACGTCGACAGACTTCCCCTTATATACTGGTTGCAACCACTCATGCATCGCTACGAGCCAGTTGGTGATGCATGAACAACCTGACATGAAGCGGGCGTCAGGAGATCTTCTGACCGCAACAGCCGTAGCAAACGGTCGTTCACAATCTTCTCGGCAAACTTGGCCAAAATAGGTGGCAGACAAATCGGCCTGTAGTTGTCTACTTTGCTGGGGTCACCGTCTTAAGGAAGCGGTCTTGCCACCGCGCATTTCTAATCAATCAGCAATGGACCTTCGGACGTAGACGTGTTGAACAGGTCAGTTAGGGGAGGCGAAATGATGGCTGATAAGGACTTGAGAATCGGAGATTGGAGCCCGTCAGGCCCAGGGGACTTGGTGCCGTAAAGATTGTCGAGTAGTTGACGCACCTCTTCCACATCATAATCCAGACTGTCGAGTGCGGTAGGGGTAGTGCACGCCAAACTCGGTATAGATACTTGGTTATTTGCAAACAAGAAAGCAAAGTGCGTCACCAAGGCGTACGCACGCTCAGTGCTGAAGGTTACCGGCTGTCCGGCCGCGTCTAGCACTGGTAGGTTGCTGCCGGCCTCAGGCGCCGCTTCACGTAAGGATTCTCTTCCGGGTGCTTTTTGCTGCGGTTGTAGGCGCTCTCCGAAGCAGCTGAACTTGCTCGTTTTAACGCTGTTGCAGATAGTTCGCTGCTTTTATACACCACATAGTCGTCGACCGAGCCAGAGATAAGAAATGTGTCCCACAACCTGCGTCGCTGCCCAACCATCTTACTAAAATCCTCGCCGAACCAATGTGGTTTGACCGGTCCGACTTTCCGACATTCGAGAGGCACAAATTAGTTACACAAGTTTACTCCATTCTTTATAACTGACCAGCAAGTTTCAGCAGATACGAGTTGTGGCAGAAACTAATCCGCTTGGCTTGCGGATCGAGTCAGGCCGTCGGAATCCGTCTCCCAGTAGTTGTAATCTGGTTGCAGTGCGTGGGATTGCTGCCGCAGCAGCTCCATGTTGGCAATAAAAACTGGGCGGTCGCTTGCTGTCACAGACTCCAGGATCCGAGTGTTATACACACGTTAACACCAAGTCAAAGCATGATGGAGTTGGACGCGGTGTTACGCGTGTGGTTTTGCTGATGTGTTGTGCTGCGCCAGTTTCAAGTGCCACATCAGCGAACTTTGCTTCGATTTCACAATAACCAGTGATAAATTCAATTTCAGGCCAGCGTATTCGAGGACAATTGAAGTCGCCTATGAGCAGAAAATGACGGCGACTCATGTGGTCTCGGAGATGCGGCAACCAATCCAAACAACAGCTCAGGGGACTCCGATAAATGTACCCAAGAGCAGCTCTCCGCGTCTGAGGTGAACGGAGCAGCACAACTGATCACACGGGCCATCTTCGCTTAGGCGGGCGTTAACGAGTCTCCCATACAAAGATCGGATGTAGAGCAAGACGCCACCGTGGGCATTCGATGGCCTATCACAGCGGAAGCATTAGTAGCCACTAAGATCAACTTCCTGGGTGAGTACATCGTACAACCTCATCTCTGCGAGTCCTATTAAATCTGGTCGCTCGAAAGCAACGTAACGGTACAGCTCATCGCACTTGTTCATAAGGCTGCAGACGTTGGTAAAGGCTACACGCTAGCTACGGTAAGAAGTATCGGGTGAGCATGAAGTGTGTGCGACCGATTTATCCGAATTCGCGTTCGTGTTTTAATCACCCGAAAATCTACAGTACGTAGGTGAGTTTCTTCTTCAGCGGTTCGCAGCTTTAGCTAGATGGCGGCGCACTTGAGGCGCTCTCGGTCAGCTGGATCGATATTCGGACGAATAGGCACCCTTTCGCCTCTCAGTCTACTCAGCCGAGACAATACTAGCTTCAGGCTGGCCTTGTGGACAATAGTTATCTGCATAGGTCTATCTTTCTCAGCAGTTTTTGCCAAGGCGGATGACTTGCTTCATTTCCACTTCAACCTCATCCACATCGAGGAGCCAGGCACTGAAGAAAACGTCAAGATCCTAGCGCGCCTGAGGACTTGGATCGCTGGACTCAGGCGCTTGAAAAAGCATCAGATTTGAGCGCATCTTGTCATTCAGTGGCAACTGCGCGAGAGAAGGGTGGACTCGAGCTTTGCCTGACCTGGCCTGTTGTTGGTCAGTAGCAGGAAGCTTTTCTTCGTTACACGGGTTCCTCCATCGTTTATTTCCCAATGGTTCCTCATTCATTGGACATTCATCTGGGTCTTTGGAGCTAGCAGAGAGCAAAGTCAGTGGACCAGTAGCCTCTGCTGGTGCCGTGTCTCCGGAAAAATTAGGACGGCGAAGTAATGAGAGGAAGGCTGGGTTGAACCTTGGATGGACTCTAGGCCAGTCTGCGAGAAGGTAAATCTGGAACTGCACAAGAAAAAAGTGGCGGGCTGGGATGACGGCGCATGCGCAAATAGGGTCGGAAAATCAAGACGATCGCACAGGTCGAGGATAAGAACAAGCGGCTAGAGTAACCTTCGGATCGGATGCACCGAATTAACGGTGGACCAGCAAACAAAAGGTCAGAAAACATACAGCTTTATTAATGATGCGGCAGACATAGCTCTCTAAGTTAACAGAGGGCTGGAAAAGGTCCGAATTGAGTGAAATAAGCTAGCAGGCACTTGTTCCGTAGGATAGTGAAAAAGGAGCTAGTGATATATTCGATGAGTGAGTGTACTATAGCGGGTTGTTGTAGCGCGAAAACGCACATATAACTTGTTAACAGATAAATTTTGATGTAATTTTTATAGGTGATTCATCATAATTAACTCGCGGTCGAAAAGACTTCCATATATCCGGAAAAGTAGTCGACGACCGTTTCGTCATAACAGGACTCATCAGGAGTGCGTATTCTCCGACTGGTTACCGATTGAGGTGAGTGGCAGTAGTAATTATAAAGCGATTATGGTCGCTGGCGGATCCTGAATGGGCCGAATATATATATGTGAGCTAAAAATGTCAGATGACAAGTAACAATCCAAGGAAGTTGTGAAAGTAATAGCACTCTCATTCACAACTTGAGTATCTCATAATTTCGTCAACAAAAATTGCCAAGTCCTTGCAATCAAAGATCTCTTGTTTTAGGGTAAGTGGAGCATCATCGAAATAAGCTCAGTTTCGGACACTATTACGGAGCTTATTCTGTGTTCTTTTCTGGTTCCGAAAAACAGTATTCACTTGAGTATCACATCATTGAGGACACTCTGATGCCACCCGCCACGATTAACGATCCGTGGGAAAACTTGTCTGAGGAGCCAGATCTCATTGGCTTAAAGGAGAAAGACCCACATCGAAGTCCGGTATGCAAGGCTTCAGTTGACTTGCAGAACTTCTTACTCGAGAGACCAACTGGATGGTCCGGGATTATTTAGTACCTTCGAATCGATCGGTGGCGGTGTTTCAGGACGTCGTGGGACCTCACGTGACAGGTGTCCTCCCCATAAAATGTTACAATGCCGCGAAATGGCGAATGCAACTAGTCACTGAGTAACTGGTCCCCGGTTTCCAGTAGGCGTAATTCCGTGATTTCGATTCGTTGTCGTGCTATTCAAACAACAATTTTGGTTTTGGCAACCAGGTAAGATCACATTGCTGGTAGAACCCATGACCTGTTCTACGCTCAATTGCTTCTGTTTCTCACACATACACGCTCATTCATCACACGCCAGCTGTTCGGTTGTCGGTGGTAAACCATTCACCTAAACGATAACATTAGTGTGGTACATGTAATATCGTACAGTCCAACAGTCAATAGTCACTGTCCGTCGTAGTTCTCCATGTCATCACTTGCTAACTTACAACTCCAAAGTCATTAAAATACAATATTGATACTATGAGTCGTATTCAAAAGGTTGCTTCCATCAGATCCATGTCAATAAATGAGCAGGAGAACAGGTAGACAGTTCAGTGCGAAGCCGATGCTCAAAAATTTTCGACTTAGTGCCTAACAAGCAGTTGGGAGCACACAACAGTTAACGTGTCCCAGTGGTGCCTTTAAGGAGATGTACATAGAAGCTTGCACAACACGATAACGACAGAAGCACAAGTAATGGTGAACAGATGTTATCGATCGTGGTCTTCAGAGAAGTAAGGTAGCGTAAGCCGCATCTGAGTAACATAAGTGACCGTTTCACACATCACGAAAATTCGCACTGCAAAATTCACAATTAGTTACTACCACAACTACAACCAAGACAATGACTACTGCTAATGCTACAGGTACAAAACACCCAAGAATGTTCAAAATGAGTGTGGAAGCAAGTCTGGGATTTCTCACGTGGCGTCTCCTTCCTTGACAATCATGGAATGTAGTGTGATCAATAGAGTGGCCGCAACCAGCTTTTTCGACGCCAAACGCATGTTGACTTTCAAGCTGGTCTGCGTTGGGATGGCTGAGGCGAATTCGGACATTTCCACCTGGCGTGTGGCCAACACACGACGTCGAACGGACGGTCCAGATAACCGGGCAGAGGCACCACTGCGTCCGATCTGTTCACGTGGAACCACGAACAAGGAAGTCAGCAGATGAAAAAACAAATATCGAATACACCCATACCTGCAAACACACTAGACGATAAGTGTTTAATGAAGGTAAGGATGATTTGCTTTAAGAAAGAGCATGTGCTAAAACGCCCGTTGCTTTTACAACGGAAGCAGGCCTAGCGTGATTTCAGTAAAGCTTTCGATAAAGTGGACCATGAGATCCTGCTCCACAAGCTGAGGATATGTGGTGTTGGTGGCGCACTGCACCAGTGGATCAGTGACTTCCTTACTGGGAGAAGATGGCGGATTCAGGTGGATGACCATCTTGCGGAATGGTACCCGTCCACTAGCGGCATACCCAAAGGCACCGTATTGGCGCCAATTTTATTGCTGATCCACATCAAGGAAACATGTTAGCTTCTTCGGTCGCCCTGCGTATTACTTACGGATGACCTGAAGATTTGGAGGATTATTGATTCTCCCGTCGACTGTGACGTCCTTCAGCAGAACCTTGACCGCCTATCCCGATGGTCTGCAGAAGTTGACCTACCGGTCAACACGGCCAAGTCATCGTTTATGAGCCTGGGGAGGGGTAGTAATGGGTGGGCGTACTCCCTGATCGACCACCGGCTGCATCCCACCAGTTCCGTAAAGGACCTAGGCGTACTCTCACTCTGTAACCTGAAGTCAGTCGACAACACTAACAGACTGCACGCAAACGGACTATGTCTACTTTCGGCACTTAGACGAAGCTTCTGTATTTGGATATGCAGATACTGTTCCTGGATATGCAGAAAGCATTCGACAGAGTGCCCCACAAGCGGCTACTGAAAAGAAACGAGTCCTTTGGAATCAAAAACCCACTATTTGGTTGGTTGACATCATACCTGAATAGGCGTTACCAGATAGTCACACTGAGTAATCATAACTCCTCCGCACGTCCAATTACCAGTGGTGTCTTCCAAGGGAGTGTACTTGGTCCTTCGCTTTTCCTACTTTATATTAACGACATCACGGTGTTCATAAAACATGGCAGGCCGGTTTTGTTCGCCTATGACATAAAGATTATTTACAAATTTCGACGAGAAGAATCCAATAGCGCAATCCTGTTCGTACAAAAAGACCTCGATTCACTTGAGAAATGGTACAACACATGGATGCTAAATTTCTCAGCTAGTAAATCATGCATTATGTCACACGACTGTCTAATCTCTGAAGAGTCTGTTAAACTGAACACCGAACGTATCTGTGTGAAACTATCCAACTGTGATCTAGGCATACGATACTCTTCAAACTTTAATTGCTCAGAGCAAGCTGAGTGTTAAATAGCACGTGCCAAACGATCTGTGGCTAGCATATGCCATAAAATCTGTACAACCCCTGCCAGACTCGAGCTTTTCAACATACTTACACTTCCTGTCCTTGAATACTGCAGCATCATCTATGGGGACATGAGAATGGGTGACAGGAAAGGTTTAGAAAACCTGCAAAGATCATTCCCTAAGCGCTTGTTCAGTAAATCAACCACCTTGTTATCAGGAGTGCTGCCAGCAGCTTAAGCTCGGGCCCCCTTTGGTTGCGACGACTGAAACATAACCTGATGCTGATACACAATCTCATAAACCAAAAACATACTCCAATCTGTGTACACTTAAAATTCAACATAACTTCACTCGGAATATACGCAACAAGACCTGTACATTATGTGTGCCCAGAACCAGGACAGCTATCCGATCCAACTTCTTCTTCGTCAGATACGCTGTCGTGTGGAATAGCCTACCAGCCGCAATCAGGTCTTGCACAAATGCAAGAGCATTCCGCATGCAGCTTAGCAAATTCCTTGACCAGAACTAGATAATGACCATGTTTCCATCGGGTAAATCACCACACTAGTTCTTTCAGGATGGCCCAAAAAATATACAATCAATGATTAAAGATGGTACAAAGAACTCAGCAACAACAAAAGTTATGTGGTTCCAAATTATTTTGATATAATACACCACATATTATATATTTCACTCATGCATGAGCATGATAATTATTGTACCCATGATCTGTCCACAATCCAGGGACAGCTTCTCGTACAATCTACTGAGGATGACATTCGATGCTCAGCTCCTGAAAACATATGGTGAACTGGAATTTAGCAGCCTTCTTCCCGATCCGCTGCAGACGCCGCCAAACACTCATGAACGGAGCGGTGTATCCGGTTAGACAGCCTGAAAGCAAAGGAGAGATGACGTTTAAACTGTAATTTCAATACAGCAATCGTATTCCAAACAAGGATAATAAAAGTCGTTGTAACTAGATTGAACTGCAACGTGCTGCAACAGTCTGCGTACCTTTTCGGCTCATTGAGCTATACTGGGCGGCTATTCTTACCATATTAGTCAATATTGGGAGAGCAGACAAACCCAGTCCATCTGGGTTCGGGGTGTAACCATTGTGGTAGAATGTTCCGTAAAACGGAGTCGATAGCAACATCCCGCTGTCCTGCAGTTCAATACAGATTTTCGACTGTGATCTGTGTACCGAATCGGGGTAGATCTAGTTGTCACAGCACAGATCACCAACACAGCAACCATGGAAATCGTGCAAGAGAAGTGAGCATGAACTAAGCCAGTAAGTGGAGAAGTAATGGGTCAGAAATAGAGAAAAAGGAGTACATGGACATCGTTGTGTTCGTTAATTTGCTATATCCAACAATGCCTAACCACTAATGTGACCGATTCCGAAGATTCTATACGAGATGACAGGCACATCCCCAACCGAGCCCTGCAGTGAGCTTCCCCATCATCATCTTACATGACTGATTACCTCATTTTTACCTAATTAAACGCAGAACTGGCAAGTAGTGCAAGACAGCTAGCTCGCTGACCAGTAGATCACATGAACGATCTACCGAAAATGAGTTACTTTCAACGAGTACTCTAATGAGGCCTCATAGGACCTGTTGCTAAGCAATAGATGAGAAACCAAAACGACATTCCATGCTGGCATTTCCGTTCACGAATTTCAATAAAGCAAGAAGAAATAACATTATAACAGAATTTACTGAATTCAGTAATTTCGCGTATTCTCCTCAGCTGTTTACATACAATGAGTGGAAAACAGTGCGATGTTAACAGCAAAAGACTCAAAGCGGTCGAAGGTCTTTAGGCTCACGTGACCTGTTCCGAGGAAAACGCAATCGCTAGCCTCACCAGGGTAGGGCTAGCGTGGTCACGAAATCCGTTTGCTTGCATAGCTTTGGCTTCAGCCGCCGAATTGCTGCCGCCTTCGCAAACTGTAGTAAACGGGGATTAGGCTGTTTGCTAACTACCCTGAAATTGCCACCTGGGTTCTGGCATTCAGGGCAGTCTAGTATGTGGCGGGCAATAGAGCTAGTTGGTATCTTCGGACCCTTAGCAATCATGTTTCGCGGAACATGCTCTGCAATCCTCGCTGACAGCCTTATCTCAGTTCGGCCTGCGTACTTGCTACCGCAAGTACAATTAAAGAGGTAAATGCAAGAGGCGGTAACTTGAGAGTCTGGTCTGTCCATGTTGGATTTACAGAGCAGTCTTCTGACTTGATGCAATACCACTAGCTCAACCGTATGGTAACACTTCTTAATCGATTGACGGAGGCGATGCCTGCATCTTCGGTCAACTTGATCTCCTTTGAAGGGCAGTGTAATGAATACTTTTTTCTTTGGGACATCTGTTGGTGGTTTATCTCCGGATCGTACTTTCGCGTGCCGAGTTATAAATCGCGCTGGATACCCATTCTCTTGTAGCGTCAAGGTGACTCGTTCTAGTTCATGTTCGATTGTGTCTAATGAGCAAATTTGGCGAGCTCTAGCAAAAGTGGTACGTACTAGAGCTCGTTTATAGTTCATTGGGCAAAAGCTATTAAAGTTCAAGTATTGCCCCGTCCATGTTGCTTTTCTGTACACAGATCGAACGAGTGTACCATCTGGCTTTCTCTGTAAGTTAACATCTAGAAAGTGGAAAGATCCGTCGGACTCGTTTTCCATTGTGAAGTTGATGGCTGGATGGCACATATTCATCAGTTTCAGTAAGTGCGCCGCCTGTTCAGGTGTGTCAACGACGATGAATGCGTCGTCTACATACCGGCAATAAAGGTGTACATTTTGTAGGTAAAAAGCTAACACAGTGTTTTCCAAGTTTCCGAGGAAGATATCAGCCAAAACTGGGCCCAGTGGGCTGTCCATGGCCACGCCGTCGATTTGTCGATACAGGGTTCCATTGAACCGGAACTGAATATCTTTTGTGCATAGGCGCAGTAATGATTTTTTGCTGTTAACATCGCACTGTTTTCCACTCATTGTATGTAAACAGTTGAGGAGAATACGCGAAATTACTGAATTCAGTAAATTCTGTTATAATGTTATTTCTTCTTGCTTTATTGAAAAACGACATTCATTCGGCTTTCCCTCCATACATGAGAAACAGTGTGCAGACATTAAGTAAGCGAATATAGCCCCTCACCTAACGTCACCAGCAACGGTTGGATATCTGACCAATTGATTAGCACTCATCGATGTGCGACATTATAAGCCCCACTCTAGACGACTAATATTATATCCCGCCCCCATCATCAGCAACTGGTGCTTAGAAAAGCCAGGTGAACTTAAGCAATGCATTGAAAACTTCATAGGCGCACTACTTGGACAAGTAAACCGCTCGACCGTGTAGAGCAGATCATTCATGATGGTAGCATATCAGCGTATCCCAGTGGTAGTGCATTACGTTTTGAAGGCATAAATTACATGTTGAAGTGCACGGCGCTACGAGTCAGACTATTCAATAGCTCATGTGTAGTGTTTGGGCTTAACCCATATTATCCGTGATCGACAGTCGGTCACTGAACAAAACCTATACACCAGTAGAGGAAGACCGGGTAGAATTATTTATGATTATAACGATTACAAATCTGACGAGGAACTGATAGACATAACTCTGATATATTTCACTTGCCGTGAAGAGCTCAGGGAAGAGAATCTCTTGGACTTACACGGCTCCAGCAGTAATAAAATAGACTTAAGAAACTTCTCTGGTACCCTTTCAGAGAAAAGCATCGTCATGAGTAGGTAGGATCAACGAATTAAAGACAAACATCATTCATTCAGTCAACATAACCGCTAGCAGTGAGAAACATTCCAGCACAATTCAAGTATAATCGTTCTCCTGTCTAGGCCTGGGCAACCTGACAGTATTCTGCCCACGCAATACAATGAACCTTTCCTACAACAATTTCTTGATGCTCTGGCCGTCGCAGAGGATAATAAACGGCGCGCTATCTGCTGCATCGAGCAGGGTGGATAGGGGTTTGGATGCTACTGCTCAGGCCTTCCCGTCTTCTTATACCCCTTCTTGCGCTTCTGCATCCTTATTGTCCCGCTCCAACTTTACTTATATCCCCCCCATTTTCAATCCCCCAATTCTTGGCCCACCCCCAGCTTACTTCAATAGTCGCTTGTCTTCTAATTTCAAATCACACACAATCGCAGGGCCTCGCTCCAATCCAGTCGATAAGTCCATGTTCAACCAAGCGGACAACGTCAGTTCATCCGTTTCCCTTTAGAGTCCTCGTGTCTCGCTAAGATTGGCATGTCTCAACGTGCGCACTTTGCTGCAGATTGGCCAACAGGCAGCACTTGCCCGCACACTAGAGACCCTATCGATCGATATTTGCTGTTTATCAGAAACCCGCCTGCAAGGTTCGAGCTCCGTGCTTACCCTGAGATCCCCCACATACGACAATGGCGGCACATTCTCATTGCGCCTATCTGGCGATGATGCAGCTTCAAATGCCGGTCAAGCCGGCGTTGGCATTGTTTCGAGTCCCCGGGCTGAAGCTGCCCTGCTTGATTGGATCCCAGTAAACAGTAGGATGTGCGCCGTTAGATTAGCTGGCTCGTTCCGTGCTTCGAAGTCGCGCGGGGACAAACGGTGCCTGTTTGTCATTGCGGCCTACGCCCCTACAAACTGTAGCACTGATTCGGTAAAAGATGATTTCTACCAGCAACTTCATGAGCTCCTTCGTTACAGAAGAAGCACGGATACTGTGGTGCTGGCTGGCGATCTAAACGCCCAAGTCGGAAAATTGTCCTCTGATGAGCTTCATCTGGGCGGCCAACATGGTGTAGGCTCCCGTAATGATAATGGTGAGCGATTGCTCCAGCTGTGTGAAGATGCTCGCCTGTTTCTCGCGAGCACTAATTTTCGACACAGCACCCGCAGAAGTGTGACTTGGCGGCCACCAGCCTCGGGCCAGTCATGGACGCAAATCGATCATATCGCGATCAGTTACCGCTGGAGAGGCTGTGTCCAAAACTGTCGCTCGATTTGGAGCACGAGCGTGGACTCTGACCACGCACTTGTATGTGCCGACCTCCTGGTGCGTTTCGGTGGACGTCTGCGACGTCGATGTGAACGGATTGACACTAGTCAGCTGGCGAAGCCAGATGTTCTGAATGTGTACCAAGATGCGCTGACATCTGGGCTGAGTAAGCGCCCACTAAACACCGTTGAAGATCACTGGTCGCACACTCGCCAAGCGTTGCTATTAGCAGGCATGTCTTCATGTGGCAAAACAAATTGCAAAACCGGACATTGGGTCTCTACACAGTCTCTGGAACTTATGGATGCTCGCCGACGTATTCCGACTGGAAGCAAATACAATGAATCTCGCAAAAATCTCAGGGCGAAACTACGTGCTAGCCTAAAGATGGACCGCGAAACCTGGTGGTCTCATCGTGCATCTGAGATGGAAACAGCCGCTGCCATTGGTAATCATCGTAAGTTATACCGTCTGATACGGGCAACAGGCAGCAGGAGACCTGGTGTTAGCGAGACCATACGCGACGAGAGTGGGCAGATGATCCACAGCCTGTCAAAACGCTTGGAGCGTTGGGCTGAACACTTTGCTATGCAATTTAACCAACCTGAGTTATCACTTTCTTCGGGCATTGAGCGCCCTTCTCCTTGGGCCGTCTCCTTGGATCCGCCCTCACGCGCAGAAGTCGAACGTGAGATCAGGCTGTTGAAATTGCATAAGGCCGCAGGAGCAGATACTATTCCTCCAGCCCTCTTCAAGTTCGGTGGACCTGCTCTAATAGGTGATCTACACGAGTTGCTAGTAAAACTTTGGGGGCAGGAGACAGTCCCGACAGACTGGAACCGCTCCGTCATTGTCCCAATTTTCAAGGGAGGATCCCGTTTGGTATGTGGCAATCATAGAGGGATCAGTCTGATTTCGATTGCCTTTAAATTGCTTGCCTCTCTCATTCTCCACAGACTGACTGGCACTCGTGAAAGCCAAATTCGTGAAGAGCAAGCCGGATTTCGTCGAGGTCGGGGCTGCATCGACCACATCTTCACATTGAGTCAAGTGTTGGAGCACCGCCATGTTTATTGGCGACCCACCGTTGTCGTGTTTCTTGACATAAAAGGTGCCTTCGACTCAGTCGATCGATGTGCCCTTTGGGACTGTCTGTTGAGGAAAGGTGTGCCTGATAAATATGTAAACATTAT